ATACGTCAAAGACTTGATTTCATATGAATATTATTTCGTGTGAGGGTTATATCGGTTGACTATGTGAAGTCAAAAATAAACTTAACAGATCTGTTTATCAAAAGTATGAAACAAGATAAATTGTACAAATTTTGTTTGGGAAATGAGCTTAACAAAAATCCACAACAAACGAACGGTCTTAGCGGTAGCCCAACCATGAGAATCAGAGATCCCGAATCGTTGGTTCTATAGAAAATTAAGTTTTTACAGTCGGTGAAACACTTGAAAATTTTCCGCTCATTTCTAGAACCGTCAAGTGTTAAAATATGTTTATGTGGTGAGATTAAGTCGGAGACCTTTAATGATTCCTATATACGGGTGGAGTAAGGCAGAATACTCTTTATAGGCAGAGCAGGCCCTGGGGCAGGGCCAGCGGGGCGGCCGCCCAGGGCCCGAAAATTGTAAGGGCACAAATTCTTAGAAAATTTTATAGGAAAAAAAATATATTTTAGTATAATTGGTTATTAAGACGAGTTAATTTTTTTCCCTTCATTCTCACATAAGCTAAATATGGTGAAGTTCTAATGATGAACTTAATTTATATAGTTGATAATTAACTTAAATATTTTTTTATATATTTTACTCTCATTTTGTTATTCAATCGATAAAAATATGTTTTAACCTCTTATTTGAATATGCAAAATTTGACTTGTGTGCATATGATTCAATCATATAAGTGATAGTCATTATAAGACATCGAGTTATCTATTATAAATGTTAGTTTTAATTTGTTGTTACTTGGTTATTAATATATATATATATATGTGTGTGTGTGTGTGTGTGTGTGTGTGTGTGTATGTGTGTGTGTGTGTGTGTATTAAATATAATATTAGTATTTTTGCAACAACAAAGTTGATTATTTGAGATAACAATAAAATTAAGGGTTAATTGCTAAATAAACCTTAACCTTTTTACGTTTAGCAATTTTATCCCAATCTTTGGGTAATTGCAATATAATCTCGACCGCAATTTACTTATTGCAAATTTGGGTGCAAAGTGATTGATTTTAGGGATTTGTGGATCGATTTTGTGTCCAAGTTTTCCACTGATACGGGTTTTTATGTCATCCACGTAGCAAGTTGATAATTTCCACGTATTTAATGTATATCCACGCACAAAGCCGAAAATTCCACGTCAATGTAAGCTATCGATGATGAGTCTCCTCCTAGATCTGGAGTGAACCGGTAAATATGAGCTCCGATCTGTTCGAACCGCCTTCAAATCGACCAGTTTTTTGAAGGTCCAATCGGTTTTAGGTTCGACTTGCAATAAGAAAATTGAGGTCGAGATTATATTGCAATTACGCAAAGATTGATATAAATTTACCAAACGCAAAAAGGTTAATTAAGGTTTATTTTACAATTAACCCTAAAACATATGGTTAATGTGAAATAGAGTTTAAAACAATGTTTATATTTTGTCGTCTTTTTTCTTATACAAGAATTGAACATGATTTATTTCTTTACTAATTGTCATTTTTTTTTTTAATAAAATTTTACAATTTTTTTTATAATTTTCAATTTTTTTTATTTTTTTATTTTTTTATTTTTTTTTGTAATATGTAATATTGTTATGATTTTTTTCTAATAAAAACAATATGGGCACTATATATTCAATTGACCCAGGGCCTATAATTTTTTAGGACCGACTCTGTTTATAGGAGAATCACCTTTTAAGTGAGAAGTAAATAGTCTGTTTCAATTGAACACTTACTAAATCGAGATATGGTCCAAGACCGAAATGGACATAACGTGAGAACAAATAATTATTACAGTTGTTGTGTAAGTACTATTGTCTTGTGCACACTAACGGTTGGTAAGTTTAAAGCATCGTGCTATTAACCGACTAGTGTATATGATATTATTTCACTAAGGATGATTCAAAACCACAAGCTATCTTTCATGATGCAATGACGGTTCGTCTGGACTCTCAAGTATTGCATACGTGCATTCATTTTTTCATATGAGGGATTGTAAAAAAAATTAGTTTTGTACCAAATTTAGTTCTATTTTTGTAAGTTGAACATAGCAATTCCCAAAGTCATTGCAAGGTGAATATGAAATTAATTTTAAGTTGTATATGTGAGAAATGCAATATTGGAGCAATGAACTTAAGTAACTCAAATATTACTGGAGTAGCAAAATATTTTGTATTTGATGAATGTAAGGATAAGACAAACAAGGCCTGATCATACAGTTTGTATGTTAAAACTCTAGAAAAGTTCGTTGAGGACGAAGAGGAAAAAATGAAACTCGATTCCAAGTCCTGAGCTCATACGAGCAGACGCCGCATGGGCGTACAGCTGGTCGTAGCCGGTGGAAGGTCGCGACATTTGGTGACCACAAGGTGTACTCTTTTGGCCTCTAGAGATGTTCTCGTTCCAATACGTCTCAAAAGTCGTCTTTTGATACTTAAACCTCTTAGAGGTATTCTCCTATATGTATAAATATCTACAAACATGAAATCATTCATAACTTGAAAATTACGAGCTCGCATTACATTTCCAAAGTTCATAAAGCATATTGTGCTCATTGATTTTTTTTTTTATTTTTTTTTATTTTTTTTGAGCCTTTAGAGTTCTAAACAATAGTATTGTTCGTCGAAGGCTTGTATATATGAACTACCTCCATATTCAAGTCAAAAGTCGTCGTATCTTGGAGGCGTTTGTCATTAACCGTGTGTATTTTATGAAGCAATCTCGATTATGATTTTGCATTTGTTTTTCTTCTCTTTAATAAGTATCTCCTTATATTCACAAACCCCCAAACAATAGACTATGTACATTTTACGTCCTAATTTATTTTCCAAAATTAAGCAAGACTCGTACATTTTACGTCCGAATCGGCCTAGTAGGTGAGTTAATTATCCTATCGTGAACTACAATTTTTTCAAAATTATATGATTAAATTTGACTACTACTAATTTTTTTTTTATATTTTTTTTTTAAATAAGACCAGAGCTTTATGGTTAACTTAACTCTATTCAGGAAAATATTTTAATTTATTTCCAGAAGTCTTGTAACGTAAAATGGAAACATTCCATCATATTCAATATTCAAATTTGCAAATTCTTTTAATCCATTGATTCAAATTTCAAAATGCACTAGTAATTCTAAAATTGCGTAAATTAAAATATTTGTTACGATCTTAATTGTTACGACAATACCAAATCTACATACAGCGTATTTTTC